TGATAACAAAAATATGGGACAATATTCACAAAATTGTTACTAAACCCGATATTGAAGGCAGCAAAGTGAAAACGTACTGATAAAAAAGAGGTTCGAAAAATATCTATCCCGTGTGGCTTAGTGCACTAACGTGTGGCTGCGCAGTGTACGCGCGACTTTGCATGCTCGCAGAGCTGTGACCGCTCGGTTCGCATTGTATTAACAAAGATGCCGTTGCTCAAAGTGGTACGACTGTCGTGCGCGTATCAGTTCTGCGACGATTGTGGAATGGGAGCAACCAATCAGATAATTAGTGCTAAAGTGGTTATTCTCTGCTGTGATATCTAGAGTGTATATTTCCAGCTAGTCCAGTGACCATTTTATCCTTTTAGCACATGAAAAAATAACATATTCGTGAGATGAAACGCGGTTTCGAAAAAGTGATGGTTCACGTACATCTGCTGTCAATCACGTAATCCACTGAGCTGCAGCTCATGTTCCGAAAACCTATTTGTTTCACTCATTTTGTAATTCATTCTTACTCTTTCAGGGTGCGTGCATACCTTCCCCTAGACAAGCAGTTTCTTATAGTGCGAAATGTTCCTTGTCACAAAAGATGCCGTCAAATGGAATATGACCCAAGCCAAGAGAAGGTATGCACAACTGAAGAATTCTGTAGTCAATCTTCGAAACATCATCTAATACTTTGCTAGATTCTTTCTTCCGAAGAAATCGGAGCAGAAGATGGTTTTGCCGGTGACGAAGACAGCGGCTGGGTGGATACTCATCACTTTGCTCACGAGGGTGGTGAGATGAGAAGCGTGGAGTTGGGTGGAAAGGTAGGTTCAAGTAATTTCTTACCGCCTCAATAATTATTAGTTCGTCCTTATTGAAATGTAATGTGGTGATCTTCAATGCTTGGCCATTTTTTTCTACTTTGAGGGATCAGAGCAGTCAAATTACAACGATGACGATGATGGCGATGAGCCGGCCATGGATCTTGATGAATTTGTTGAATCTGGTGGATTAGAAGATATCGACCCAAACAGGTTTGTTCTTAATATTCATACCTTACGTTTTTCCTCTTCATTATGCTTAGCTATTTCGCGTGTTACAAGCGGTCTATCGATCCATGGTGATATTTTCAGATATGTCTCTCCTCAAACAGTTACGGTAGCTGAGGTTGAAAGACCGCGGACATATGATTTACATATTACTTATGACAAGTACTACCAGGTATATCAGTTTTTCGATTTTCGTCATTCAAGGCAGCTGTCAGATAGATCGGTTGAATGTATGGGTTGGGGGTAATCCTATGTAGTAGGAAGGGAAATAAGGTGTCTAAGCAGAAAATCTGTGATTGAGTAACACTTCAGATGTCCATCAGAATTGTAATTGCTCTATTGTGGAGCGACCGCGCAATCGTTCGACATAATCGCAAAGTCTGACGAGAGGCAACGTAGTTACGCTTGCGCTAAGCCTCCGGCTCGATGCACAATTTCTTGGTGGCTGAGGCAGCCGCTGTTGCTTTGTTTGATGCATGTCTTCCCTCTCTTCTCTTCTTTTCTTCTCTCTTCTTTCGTTCGAGCACGAACGCTCCTCGTTGTATATTTGTATTTCACCGAAAATCGGCTTCAGGGATAGTACTATTCCGTGGGTTTTCAGGTGTTTTTTTTTCGCTTGTTATGCCACTGTGAGGGGATCCTTTTCTAGCCAGTTAATCTTAGGAGTGAGTTTTTCACTGACATAGAGGTGGTTCGGGTTAAGTCAAACGCTGGTCTTGCAACGGCGAGTGCTTCGATGGTTGATGCAACGATACACTCACCAAATCGTTCAGGACGTGGAGCGCTTTCCCAAAACGCTTTTTTGCATGCTCTAGAGGCACCTGCATGGAGCATAAAACTGATGGCCCCAAAAAATTTTTGGTGGGAATTGAACCAAAGTCATAGGATTCTTAAATAATTTGATAGAATAGTCAGACAGAAGATAAAGCTGACTTCTTTATAATCACGCGGTTGCGGGTTTTGACCGGGGTGTGTCGCATGTACGGAAAAAATTTCGTTTCTGAAATGGTGTTTCCACTACCGGAAAGCCTGGTTTGGTTAGCGCGAAAGACAACATGCGTTACAAGTTGACCGGTATAAACAGCGGTTCCTATCAAAGGCGGCGTGGTGTGATGATCTGTGGCGCCTTAAAGAGACTTTTAAGTCTATCGTTTGGGGCTTAACAATATGAATAGGCGTGAGAGCAGCATTGATGGATATAGGAGGTTGATGACGGTTTGGTTCAGAGCATGTGGCTAGGCTGCGTGTGAATGTGGGTGGAAGGGTTGTCTTTTTCTAGGATTTGGAACATTCTCATCTATCACTTCACTGCCTATCTTTCTTTTACATGGATTCAGTTTCATCATGATTTTTGTCTTCAAGCAAAGTTTACTTTCGATTTAACCATTGAAAGATTAGTGGTGCCAAAGCGGATACCATATCAGGTTGGAAGCAGAAAATTTGTCCTAATTTCTATAGCATCGTAGGACAGGACCACGAGATACAGAAGCAAAGCGAAAGGGAGGGAGAGCAAATAAATAGACGAGGTGGAGTTCTTCATTATCGATTAAACAAGATTTGTCCAGTGGGCATTTTCACTCGTTCATTTGTTCGTAATTGCGGCTTAAAGGGCTGGTGGCGTCCCTATGGCGATCTCGTCCCTCGTGAAACTTAGGGTGCGTGTAGACTGCTAAAAAAAAGGAGAGCGGTGGAGATTCTTCCACTTAGACTTAAACAAGAGCTGCCCGTGGCATTTTCACCTCGTCAGTTTTTTCAGTAGAGGCTAAAAGGCTGCGTGGGCTCCCATGCGCTATCTCTTTCCCTGTGACTCTCTCTCACTCGGTAAGTAATATGTAGAGGTGTTTGAGACGGACTGTAATTATTAAAGGCGGTTTTTCACGATGAAAAGCCCATTGGAAGTTAAATTAGGGATGGTCAGTGATACACGAAAAACCGAGAAAATGGTCGAGAACCCGAAAAATGGGACCCTTCCTTGCTTGATTTGCGCATTGATGCGACTCTCATCGGTGCTGCCCTCTTCAACGCTAACGCTCTCTGCTGAACGGCTAGAGACTCAGACACGAGACGACGCGAGAGGGGGCGTACCGGGCCAATAGCGCACCACAGAGCCGCGGGGAAGGCCATGCTAGATCGCCGGGGCATATCCTTCGATGCAATTGCGTGTCGGTCCACCCCCCCCCACCCGTAGGAGGTGCGGGTGTCTCTCCACTAGGTAAGTTTTCCCTCCTTCGACCTTTGTCCTTATGATGGAATCCTTCTTTAAATGGTTACTGTAACATGAGTGATTTATGGATAAGTAGAGTAGGACTGGTGTAAAAAGAGGACTGCTGAAAGAAGGAAAATCTTTCCTCGGTAGTGTGATTCTACTTGTTTGGAATGTCACAAGGAAAAATGGATAACCGTGCAGTCGAAAAACGAAAAAATTCGTGCATCATTATGTTTTCTCGGTAGTTTGTATTAGTATGATTAGCCATAAGCACTCTGATTTTGAAGCAGAAATGATCTCTTCAGGTCCCAAGATTATTCCTTATGGGATATGACGAAAACCGTAAGCCACTTACTGTTCAGCAAACGTATGAAGACTTCTCGGCTGTGAGTTTTGCTGTAATTTCTCAAGCTGAAGGATATGGTCCTTTGGCAATAATACAGTTTGCAGGACCACGCTCATAAAACTATAACTGTCGAAGCTCATCCCCACATTGATTGTGACATGCCTACAGTACACCCATGTCGTCATGCTGAGGTATTTAAGTTACCGACAAAATACAATTTTAGCGTTTTCAAAAAATTTTGACATTTTCTATACTTGTAGTTAGTGAAAAGGCTAAATAATGTATCATAATAACAGCGGAGGTGCTGTAGTGGCAAGTAGCGCCACTTTCCACGGGTCAGGGGGGGGGAGTGTTTACAAGGGTTAAATATTGGATCGAATCTCGCTTAGGCACACTGTTTTTGATCTCTTCGAGTTCGGTCAATTGGTAGCAGGCTTGTGTTGGAGAATAAAACAAGGATTTGTTCCACTGCTGAGCCCGCATCTTTGTAGAGACAACACTGCATTCATATTCCACTTGGTCTCGATAGAATTGGAGTTCGTGGCGCATCCCAAAACGGTTCGATCAACATCGAAAACTATACTTCGCCTTTGTTAAAACGATGGAATTATACACCTCTGTGTTTAATCGCAAATGCTATTGCGCACTCTCCTAATCTCCTGCCTCCATAATGACTTAATTTGTAAAAACTGTGGTGACTACGACTTGGTAACTCGTGAAACTCATCGCGAAAGTGCACTTTTTAAATCCATCGTCTTGGAGGGAGCTGTCACTGTAATTCAGTGCGCACCTAGTTGTAGTGACTCTGGGAGTACTTGATGAACGAAGTTCGCAGATAGGAAGTACAGTAGCGAGAGCAAAAAATAGTCAATTTTGCTCAAACAATTTTTCATCTTACTTTTTTTCACACCTATCGCGTCCCCAACGCGATAGATGTGAAACCTACGGCAAAATGCCATTAAAGTATACCACGAAAAGAGGAAATGCCCTTGTCCATTGGTTTCACCGTATTTAGAACATCAAAAATGGGCAGGGAAGAAGAGTCGCCTCTACTTATTAGCTGACCTTGCGAACTCTCTAATATTTCTCCATACGGTTTCATATTGGCCTCCTTAATCTATTCCCTCACTATACAAAAGTTGCAAGCAAAAAGTGGTGAAAGGTAAGAACAGTAAGGGTCCCAGTTTTGAGATTGTCATTTCGGTTAATGGATTTCCATTCAAGTTTCAAAAGTAGCCTAAAAATGCATTACTTGTCGTTTGGAAGGATTTGGAAATAAGTAATAGCAGCACTAAAACTATTTTCCACAGGAATCGATGCGATTCAATTTTCGATAAAAACTCATGCCTTGCATTCTTTTCATTCAATGCATTCAATGTAGGTAACTATCGCTTGACCTTCTGTACAGCTTCCTTGCGACTTTGGATTTGATTATTGCATTGAAATTATAAGAATAGTCGAGATGTTAGCTAAAAGCATTAGCTATGAAATTCTCAATGGTTCATTTAATTCCATTTCTAGGAAACATGGGAAGATATATTTTTCGGAAAAGTCGCGGGGTTTGGGGAAATTTCATTCGAAATTTGTCAAATTGTGCCGTTTAGAGTCTTATTCTCCCTTACCAAGCTCGAAGTTCTGGGGGTGGAGTCGGTTAAAAAAGTGTCGGGACCATCCGTATTCCATCACATACCATGCTAGCTCCAGACCTGTTAAATACTGCTCGATTGGGAGAGGTTGAGCCTAACTATCATCGTTGGATACCTGACAGGTTCGGTGTTCTTGGTTGATGCTGAAATAAGGGAAAAATGGAGTCTAAAACAGTAGGTTAAGTTCGGACACTGTTCTATTGTTTACATAGTGATTAAGTTTTCTTTATGGCAGATGATGAAGCGTTTGTTGGACCAGCTCGCCGAAAACGGCAAGGAACTGGGTGTTCATGAATATCTATTGATATTCCTAAAATTTGTGCAGGTACTCTATTCCAGGTCCGAATGCCAAAACTTTGTTGTATTGTCCTGATTTCAGACCGTTATACCAACTATCGAGTATGACTACACGAGGTCAATCCAGTTGTGATACATATTGATAATAATTGTGATAGTCCACTTTTTATGGCAAGAAAATGCCTCACAAGCTGGCCAGTGCAAATATTCAGGCTTATTTATATTATGTTCATCTTTCTCATCCGTGCATGGTGTCGGAATCTGCTTTTTCCAAAATTTTCCTCATTGCCTATAATCATTTCATGTTAGAACACTTTGTTGCTTGATTTCAATATGATATACTATGCTTAAAATGTGTGTACCAGCCCGTCGGTCGGAACATGGGGCGGCTCGGCGTACTGCAAAACACTTCGCAGTTTCACGTCCAAACATACCCAAATTGTCACCACGACGTTGCAAGTTGCCACCTACTATCTAAATACACTGCGTTGCAAAAATATGAATCCACCTGGTTCTTGAAATTCGCATGATAGGGTGTTTCTGAAAAAGCCTTTGAAAGAAAAATGTGCTCAATATAAATATAATTTCGAGTGTAAACACCAACTTCCATTTCGAAAACACGAAAATTTTTTATTTTCATTTTTCAGAAAAGGGCCACTTTGCCGATTGTGCAAAAATATAAATCCACCCCATGTTTCTCGGTTGAACTTCATTGTTATTTGGCGTAACTGTCAGGTTGTTTCCACTTCCTCTTTCTTAGGTGATGACGGAAGTAACACCGCTGTCGGGCTCAAAAAAGGCAAAATCTACAAAAGAGTGGGGAGATTTGCCGTGCAGTCAAATCGCGCGTGATTTGAGGTCAGAATCTCTGCAGCATGTGGAATCCAGAAGAGCACTGAACCCTTTCTCTTCGCGTTTTCAGTTGCGATGACCGTAGTGTTATGGGAAAAGCAGCCGATTCTCCCAAGGGGTGCTCAGGAACTCAACCTTCAAAAAAAAACCTTAATTTTTCGGAAGACACCGTTCGAGCGTGTGGAACTCTGAGACCACTGTTCAACGGAAAATGAGTAGGACACATTTAAAAATTCGGAATCATCGCAAAAAACAAGCCAAGTTTCCCAAGATCAGTGGCCATCAAAAGGTACTGCGAGGCCATATTAGCCACGCAGTACCTTTTGATGGCTGTCTTCACTTTTCTTACTGGTTTCCTTTTTCAATATGAGTTCCTGTCTCTGCCAAACACACTGCAGAAAAAAAAAGAGAAATTCAGACAGACAGTAAAAAGTAGCGTGTAGAAAGCCGAACTTAATGCAGCTGGCGCAGCATGCACACATTATGGAAGAGTTGGCTTGATTTTTGGGATGGCTTTGTGTCTTCAACTGTGCCATACTCATTTTCCGTCGAAGAGTGGTCTCAGAGTTCTTCTAACACACGCCAAACGGTGACTTTCAAGAAATTAGGTTTTTTTGAAGGTTGAGTTCCTGAGCACCCCTTGGGAGAATCGGCTGCTTTTCCCATAACACTACGGTCATCGCAACCGAAACGCGAAGAAAAGGGTTCAGTGCTCTTCTGGATTCCACATGCTGCAGGATTCTTGACGAAATGCTCAACAACCACATAAGCGGGGCTCAAATCACGCGCGATTTGACTGCATGGCAAATCTCCCCACTCTTTTGCAGATTTCGCCTTTTTTCTGAGCCCGACAGCGGTGTTACTTCCGTCATCACCTAAGAAAGAGGAAGTGGAAACAACCTGACAGTTACGCCAAATAACAATGAAGTTCAACCGAGAAACATGGGGTGGATTTATATTTTTGCACAATCGGCAAAGTGGCCCTTTTCTGAAAAATGAAAATAAAAAATTTTCGTGTTTTCGAAATGGAAGTTGGTGTTTACACTCGAAATTATATTTATATTGAGCACATTTTTCTTTCAAAGGCTTTTTCAGAAACACCCTATCATGCGAATTTTCAAGAACTTTCCAGGTGGATTTATATTTTTGCAACGCAGTGTATATGCCCTGTTAACTATACCTGGCGTGACGCATGAATAGGGAAGACCTGTATTCACCACTTGTACCGAAAACGGGAACCGTCTTGGTTGTGTGCAGTCATCCCATTACGCAGCCGTTTGCTAGTACTCAAATTTGTCGCCTCCAGTAACATTCACTTGTATCCATCTCCAGCGGTATCGCAGTGAGTATTTCTGGGAATCCATATATTGGTTCCAATTCTAAAAAATCACGTGCATCTTAAGACCATTTAGCCGTAATACTCCGTACCCAGGTACGCCGTGCCCCCTATTCCGACCATATGGTAACCGAGTATTGTTCAGGAGGCCACCGCTTGACGAACGCACAGAGACGCATCTGGGTGGGATATGGGATGTGGTCACCTTCAAGTCACTTGGTCAATGGTTGTGGTAGTTCACGTTGAAATAGCAGTTTTGCAGCGTGAATTCAATAATTAGCTACTCACTTGTTTACCTAACTCTCATTGCGAGTTTTGGTGAACTGTTTCACAAACATAGGTAATTCACTTTCGTGGCAATAAAAATGGTCCAGCGAAGCAGAAAGGAACTACTCGTCAACTCTCAGACGAGTTTTCCCACTCACCATCACTGCTCAAACGTGGCCGCATGGGTGTTTGACTAGTGGCGCTTTCCACAGCACATCACGAGCGCGCTATCCCCATTGACACGTTGGTTCGTTGTTAGGTGGGCCTCTGATCGTATACTTGGGTAGCCAGTTCACTATTCAAGTTTGTTAAAATTGTCCATTTTTTGACGAAAGGAAACTCAGATGACCAGTTTCATAAAATATGCGCTTGTTATGTTGTTGTGGCTCAATTATATAATTGTTGACAACGGACCACGAATTCTTATTAATCGAATCGAATCACCAATACCAGATTTATTGCGTGTCACCATTTTTGGAAGAATCAATTCAGATCTTTTTTTGCCCTGAAATGTGGTTCCAACCGCCATCCTCGGACTTGAGGCTTTTGGTTTGCTCTATAGCTCACTAACTCTAAGTTCTGCAATACAATTTTCCGTCTTGGAGGTGCAACCTATCAAGTTGTTGGGTAAGAACCACAAATCCCCCTCCTTTATTACTATAAACAACTGAGGGGATTGGCAGTGGGCCAAAGACTAGCCCCGGTGCTTGCAATAGCCTTCATGTCGAAAATTGAGAAGCCTGTATTGGACCGCCAACCAGTCCTCTATAGTCGTTACATTGATGACTGCCTCATCATTTGCTCCACTCAAAGTGAGATGGATGCATGCTTTGACCTCCTAAATGAGCAGTCAGATCAGATAAAGTTCACAAGGGAAAGACCTTTGGAGGACTGGCTTCCATTCTTAAATGTCCAAATTCAGCTCTCAAGAGGAAGGGTGCGAACAAAATGATACCGAAATGCCAGCAATAAGAATATTCTTATT